AAGTAACAAAGAAACAAACAGCAATAATACAAAGACAAGAAGATGATAAGAGGATCCATAACTTAAGAATTAAGAACATAAAAGAAGTAGGGACACAAACAAATGAACTACAAAAGCTACTCACAGAAATAATCTAGGAGAATTTTCCTAATTTAGCAAAAGGTAGATACTCAGATGTATGAGGCATACAGGACCCCAGCCACCTATAACCCAAACAGAGCAAAACCCAGGCATATAATAATAAAAATTCCAGAAATTCAATACAAGAACAGAATATTAAAAGCTGTCAGAGACAAGAAACAGACCACTTACAAGGGAACACCCATCAGAATTACAGCAGATTTCTCTGCACAAACCATCAAATCACGAAGAGCGTGGGGGGAAATAATTCAAGCTTTGAAAGATAATAATCTCCAGTCAAGATTGAAATATCCTGCACAACTGTCCCTGGAAATTGATGGAAAAACAAGGTGCTTCCAGGATAAAGAGGAACTGGGGGAATTTGCAACCATCAATTCAACTCTACAGAGAGTATTGCAGGATATTCTAAAAAAAGAAAAATACAAAGAATCCAGAAATAGTGGCGGGGAGGCCACAATGAATGGAGCAGAGAACAAAATGAAGAAGACAAACTGACAACTAATGACAGAAAAAGAGCTCAACAGAAATGAGGCAGAGAAGATTGGATGATAAGAACAGCTATTTTGGAGAAAATGACATCTTAATAGGTAAAACTGATTTAGTATCATCTTGTTTTGAAGTCTCATCAAGCTTTTGTTCTTCTGTCTCCATTGGTCTAAACAGGTTGTATCTTATTGGATTTTATTATGTACGATAGTATAAGCAAAAACTTTTAAAGACAAGGAGATTATACAGAAACCATTGTTCATTTTCTGTTAGTTGATTCTAAATACCCTGTAATGCTGTCATTCTCTTAAATGGTTTTACATTGTTTTGATATATTTAATGCTACAGTATACGAAGTTGGTTTTTTTTTTTTTATTTTTATTTATTTATTTATTTTTGTCTTTTTCCTTTTTATCGGTACCAGGGATCGAACTCATGACTGCCTGCTTGCAAGGCAGACACTTATGCCGCTGAGCTAAATCCCCAGCCCCAGTATACGAAGTTGTACTCAAGGATTTCAAGGAAAGAGACAATATGGTAACTACTTTTATGTCAGGATTATCTTGTGGTGAAACACTATTCTGCTTAAATGGTTATGTTTTGATCTGCGCTGTTTTGCTGTTATGCCCTCTTTTATCTCAATCTCCACTCCATTATTTACTTTTTTATTTTTATCCTTTTAATTAAGGGAAAAATAAATAAAAATAGCAGGATATATTATAGTAACCCACTTTGACTTTCCATTATCTCGATTTAAAACCCTGTATTACTCTCACCATCTTGTTTTTGACTGATGTCCCCCTATTCTGTTTTGCTTGATAGTACCAGGTTCGGAAGTTTAGGCAACAGCTGTGAAGATAGTGAGATTCATTATGACGCCCATTCTCGATGACTTTTATCTACTTTTGAAGACCTACAATGTCTCCAATGTTTTGGTTTTGTCGGTTTTGTTCTTTACTGTTTTGTTCAATTTTATTATAACTGATGATATAGGCAATTCTATTAGAGATAGCGGGAGGCATTATGGTAACCATTATTGATCACCTTGTATTATGCTTTTACATTATCTATTATGTCCACCCTTTTGATTTGATTGACTCTGTTCTGTTATGTCACATTTGGTTCTACTCCCTTCCAAAAAAGTAATAAGAACTGTGGGAGTAACAAAACCCAAAATGTGTAATTGTCATTGTACAAAAGAGAGGAAAAGAAAGTGCTCTAAATGATATAACTGCATGTATATTTAAGTGTATAAGATAGATAACCATATTACTGAGTTTTGTTGGACCATTGAACAGAACTGTTTGCAGTGTCATTGTTGGAATGTCCACTTTACAAGCTTTAATTTTGTGACTTGAACAATTATTTCTGAGATGACAATATGTAATCCATTAACTAGTGATTTCCTACTGTTTATTTTCTTCTGTCAATCTGTATAACTTGTACCCTTTCTCTGCTTTTTTTTTTCTCCTTAAATAAAATTAAAAAAAGAAAAAGTCAAAGAAACTGTTCAAAAGGAAAGAACAACTGACTAAGAAAGGGGAAAGGAGAAAAGAAAGGAAAAGATATATATATATATATATATAGATAGATATATAGATATAGACAGATATACATATATTAGGTTACAATATTACTAATCTATCAAAAAGAATGGTTAATGCTTTCATTGTTTGATTTTTTTATGCCTATATCTTGTAATCTGAACAATTAATTTGAAGATAACAATTAATGATTTGAAGATAATAATTAATGATTGTTAATCTATTTATTGTTTTGTTACATTGTTTTATATCATTTTTATTCTTTTTATTTAAAAAAACTTCTCAGAAGGTATTTATTTTAAAGAAATTACCATTTTCCCACTTTCCATCCCCTAAAATACTAATTTATAAGACTGTTATACCCTACTCATAGTAGTTCTGGGACAGCCCCCTGAGAGTGCTGCATGACCTGGGCAGAAAAGCAGACAGGCACAAGGGCAGATTAACAGTTAGGTCATGAAAGACAGGCAGCATAAAATAGCTACTGCTAATTTGCACGAGACACATTTACACAATTAAGTAGATGGAAATGTTATGAACTCAGTATTCCAATGATGTTCTTTAAAATTAAGAAGAAGAGGGGCACACTAGGGGATTTGGAGCTTTTATGTATTAATTCTAATGTATACAATACAGAACACTGTAATGAAGTTAACAAAATTAATTAAAAGATTCTTTGCATGTAACCATCAGAGACTACATTAAAAAATACATGACAGTTCTGACATTGTTAACAGTGAATGTGATTGTTTTTTATCATTTTAATAGTTGATTCACTACCTTTTCCATATATTCACTGATATAAAAAACATGAGATGAGAGACAATTGATTATTCAGAGCCTAAAATAAGTGTTGTTTTTAATACAACTCTGTCTATTCCATTGAGTTTTATTAACTGATAAGTTAGTGAAGAATTTTCTAGGGTTTTAGAAGACAATTACACATTTTATTGAAGACAGAAAGAAGTTTCAGGTATTTACCTATTTACATTTGTCTTTACATAATCTTTTTTTTTTTTTTTTTGCTAAATAACAAAATAAGAATTGGAGAATGTTAATCAAACTCTTAGGCAGAACAAAAATCTGTGAGCAAGTTTGGGAAGGTGATTATGGCCCTCAAAAGGAGCCTTGACATTATGATAAATACTTTTGGCCAGGTGTTTAGCTCAGTGGCATAAATTAATTTTTTTGTTTAACCTTTCTCGTTTCATAAGGGTAGTGCGTATACTTAATCCTTTATTGTTAAGCCAGTTCTAACACATATCAAAATTATAACAAGTGTTTTGTTACAAAAACTAGATAAAAGTGATAAGATGACTCTGAGAGTAATGAAATACTGTATATTTACATTGCTCTACAGGTAAATTTTAGATCAGGTAGATTTTTTTTTGGTCTTTTTGAGACAGGGTCTTGCTATGCAGTTCAGGCCACGCTTGAGCTCACTTTGTAGCCCAGATTGGTCTCAAACTCATAACAATTCTCCTGCCTCAGCCTCCTGAGTGCTGGGGGAAAATTTTTTTGTTTGAACTGGGAATTGAACTCAGGACCTCATGTTTGCCAGGCAGGCACCATGCCACTGAGCTATATCCCTAGCCTCTTTCCTTCCAAATAAGTTTTTTTTCTCTTTGACTAATCCAAAGGCCTAAAAAAAGATTAGGTACCAATTTTACTTTAACAATTATATAAAAATTACATTTAGAGTTTTATTTGCTACATCTACTTTCCAACACATATCTACTTAATCTTAATATGGAATCTTATCCTAACTCTTCCACCTTCATGGAAGTCTGCTTTATAAAGTTATACAGTTGATCTGAACATGACACTTTTTGAATTAAATTCTGTGTCCCCTGACATAGAGTTCCATATGGACTGATGTGTGGTAGACATTTAATATTCATGGTATTACATTAATTTTAATATCTACCTATTCATCCACTTACTGAAAATTTACTGTGTGAAAGGACACTGTCAGAGGCTGTAGACACAAGGATGAAAAAGAAAGTCCCCATTCAAAAGATGCCCAGGCACACAAAGGATTGTGTTAGAAGGAAGAAGAGCTCTCTCTAGTCCCGGGAACTTGGGGACACAGCCATGAACAGATGACGAGCCTGCCTCATGAAGCTTACATTCCATTGGGAGGAAATGAGATATAAACAAAAGTAATAAATTGTTAAGTAGTATTAAAGGCGATGAATAAAATAAAGCAGTGTAAAGACAGAATGTACATATATAGGAAGGATGGAAACATGGTAAAATTAGACAAAAAGACCAGAACTTGGGAAATGTCTTCTTTAACAGTATGCTCAACTTTTCCTAAAATCTAGAAGAATGGTCTTGAGTGTGCATCAGAAAATGTCTTTTCAATACATTAATAATTTATTCAAGGTTATTTATACTACATAACAATGCTGCAAATGAAACAAAACTTTCAAAACAAAAATCACTGATATTTTCACGTTTCCCAGTTACTACAGCAGTGTTACTGTAGCAGTTGCTTACATTTGACATTAAAAATCAATTGTAATTTCAGTACTAGAGTAGACCTTGGCAGATTTTTGGTGGCCCTACTTGAGGAGTTGTATAACCCCATGTCGATTTTATCCTTCCTTCTGATAACAGACTTTGGATGGTTCAGGAATAGAATACTTTTAATAGACTTTGGATGGTTCAGGAATAGAACACTCATAATACATTATATACAACTGACTACTGGCAAAAAAAAAAAAAACACAAAAAACTTAGTTACTGCTAAACTTAAAGGAAAATCCAAATTTAGATCATTGGTTTACATGACATTGTTAACACAGTAAGACATTTCAAACTTACTTTGAAGTGTTTCAAGTTCAATTCTAGTCAGTGCATCTTCTTTTTCCTTCAATTTTGTTTCTTTATATTTAGCGTAAAACTGCCCAGCATCCTTAAAAAAGAAGTTGTAAATTAGCATAAAAATCAGTTTAGACAGTATTTTCCCTATAACTTTCTTTTGTAGCAGTACATAAATTTTAGAAGTAGCATTTTTGTTTCAAACTGTATGAAAATTGATGAACAGAAGAAATTGAATAAACAGCTAAATCCCAAAGCTACATGAACATAAATTTGAGTAAATTCTTTCTTCTTTTACATGGAAAAGAGGTCACTACTTTCTATTTTCTTCCACTGTGTGGTATTTTCTTAATATTGTTATTATATGTACAGATAGATGAAAAACTCACTTGCTGAACTGAATTCTTTGATATAATAAATTATATTATTGTGATTAACAAAGTGCTGGAGCTATTTTCATAACAGTCCCTTAACTGCAATACATTTTCAAAAATTACTATATGCAAATCTGATCATTAACGTATATGGCTACAGAGATGTGAGTGGAAGTTGTCACTCCCCTTTCCACCACCTTTAAAGACTTGTACCAAACAGCCATAATGGGGGCCTGAGGATGGAGGCTGAGAACACACAAGGTGTACAAACACACAAGTGTCAAGATACAGTGGCCAAAGTATCAATGAATAGCACATAGGTAAGACTTTAGCAAGGGATTAAAAAAAAAATAGTAGGTCTTAAATAAATCACAGACATGAAAATAAAGAAGGTGATGCTCTAGGCATAAGGTGACCTGACAATGAAAAAAGCCAAAGAGATCTTTTCCCACACTCCTTGACTCAAACTTCATATTCTATATAGTGAAACTGCTTCCAGGCCTTTGCAGTCGCTTTGCCCTTTGGCTGCAGTATTTTACCCTCCAATATTTTTCTGACAAACTCTCTTCATCCTAGAAGTCCTGTTCAGGCACTATGTCATTTACCATCCCCAGCAGAAGAATTCTCTTTTGCACACCACTTCTGCACTTCAATGCTTATGAGATTAGGTCATGCTACAACCTGTCCTAGAAGATGGGACATTTAAGATAAGGATCTGTGTATGCCCAGCACCAGTAACTGGCGTAGAGCAGACACTCAGCAGGTGCTCACTGAACAGCACTAGATTGAAATATATGAGGACTATTTAAAGAAAGGAAGGAAAAGGCTTGATGATTGACATGTGGAATAAGAAAAGGGTATAAGGATAATTTTAGGGTGACATTTCAAGACTATAAAATTCCTAGAGCAGGTAAGACAGAGGCCCATCTGACAAGGCTATTTCTGTAGGAGATAAAGAGGGGGGAAAAATCAATCTTTGACATTACCCAGATCTGATGTAAAAGGATGAACACTTAAGCTCTTGAATAGAGTTCTCTCTTTTCATCCAAGACTATACCCAAGTCAAAGCTTTCTCCTGAGGTCTAAGTCTCATGGGATTATATCAAAACTCTTCCACTAGATAATGAATCAAGAAACTAATAGTGTATTCCTAAAATTACTTAATATAAAAAGATATTGCTTTTGTCTTTCTTTTCCCACTCTCATGTTCTTATCTTATTTCTACTAGATGGGTTCCCACAAGCCCCAGGCCAGCTAAACAGTGCTGTGATTCAAAGGGTCTGGATGGTGACACACGCAACTTACTCATCCACCCAGGCCCACACATAACTTACATTTCAACAGGGTTTGAGGTCAGGACCTTATGGCCCCTTAACTTTCCCCACAACACACCCGTAAGTAAAACTCAGCCTTGTTGTACTATTTTATAGTAAGCCATATCAGTTATTTATACCTTGGTGTGATTGAATGAATGAGCTTATTAGCTTCTTTCCACAGAGTAGGTTTTAATAGTAGGGAAGAAGAAAAGGCCAGGAAGGCACTGGCTCCTTGAGAGGAGTAGGAAATGTGGCACCATGCAAAAAAAAGAAGGGCACAGATTAGTTATTTACAAGAGATGAAAGAAAGTAGGTTGAAATCAATCATCACAGTACAGTTCAATAAGATATGATGATTAAGAGGCAGATTTCAGGGCCAGGTTACCTACATTAAGATCCCAGTTCTGACTTCTTACTATATACCTGTGTGATGTTCAGCAAATTTATTTCATTTTTATATGGGTCAGTTCTTTCATTTATAAAATGAGAATAATAAAAGTACCTAACTGTAGAGCTGTTGTGAAAATTCAGTGGTGCTATCTGGAACACTGAGCATAACGTCTTGTTAGGCCTTGTATGTGTTAGCTACTTGCATTATTTATCATTTGACAAGAATCTGATTCTTGTCACCAAGTACAAATGAGTTTTTACACTTCCTATTTTATCCAAATGCTTCCTGGGTATCTGTCTTTTTGCTCAGATGACTTCTTTTTGGCTGTATCCTCCATGTGAAGACCTGCTGCTGGGTAACAGCAACCTCTTCTAGTGGTCTGGCCAAAGGTGTTTCTTTTTTTAATGTTTCTTCTATCTACTACAGCACAAAATTCCACTACAAGTCCTTCTTTGAAATACTCATTTGATCTCAGACTTCACTTATCTGAGAGTTGCAATGTACCTAAACACCTTAATCTATTCCAGCCATTCCAAGAGTTTTCACACTTTCCCTAGTTTCACTCATCACCATTTGCTCAAGGCAGAGTCCTTTCTTTCTCTTGGTCTATTTTGAAGCATTCATTTAAATGTTCATCACGCTTTTTTTTTTTTTTTCTTCTCACCTTATTTGGACTTTCAAATTATAATTACAACTTCCATTCTAGGAAGCATTACTTTTCTAACAAAACTACAGTCTCAACTGTATCGTGCTAAATAACTGCTTTCTTCCAATCATTTTTATCATGACTATGGTTTAAAATGCAATGAAAGCCTAGGCCTTGGACAGACTCATAGATAAACATAGAAAGCCAATTGGTTAATTTTAAATCTTGCTCAGAGCCACTTTATAGTGGTCTGCAATATCTTTTTTTTTTTTTTTTTTTTTGTAATACAAGCTGGGTTAGGGTAAGTTGTAGTTGAATGTTGTTTAGGAGTTGGCCCGTTTGGGCTCTTTTTTTGACAGACTATGAATAGAATAAGGAGAAACACACAGATTATTTTAAGTATATTAACATAAAGCCAGAAATGTGTCTTTAGATAGTTGAATGGATTTAACTGATTTACAGCATCAGAAAATTTGTTTTAATCTTGAATTTGTTTGTCAAGTTTTTGGGTTTGTTGGGACATTGATAATACTTTTTGGAGGGCATTACTTATTTTGATGGACAGCTCTTTGTATTTTTTAATACCTTTTTAAGGACATATGCATTTGTTATAAAGCAAGGGAATTATGTACAAATGAGTGGTCTTGTAATAGCATTTAACTTAGGACCAATTATATTTAGTTTATGATAAATTTTAGGTGGAGAATCTGTTTAAATAATGGGTTTATGTAATGGTAGATTAGGGACATAAGTTTATTATGTTATTTTTGAGACAGACATTTTGTATATATAGATATTGTTAGCAGAGCCATTGAGGCAACCAAAAGATTTTTAGAAGTAGGTGGAATTTTTTTTTTTTTTTTTTGGTGATTATATTTTTAGCCTCACGAATTGTTGCTTGGCTGTTGTTTTATTGGATTATTTGGGTTTTTCTTTTTTTTTTGGTTTTTGGGGAAAGCTGGAGGTTGATTTTTAGGCTGATAGGCAGGTATTGTGGGGGCTTAGCTTGGCTGAGTAGTTATATAAGGCTGTTTTTAGCACTGGTTGTGTCTCCCACCAATGCTGTGTATTTTTTGTGGATCTTTTATCTATTAAGACATAATCATAACCTTGTTTTTATGTTATTAGATATATTAGTATTTTAAAGTTTAAATTATGGAAAAGGCAAAAAATAGTTATCTGTGGGAAAAACAGTAATGTTACAAAAGCAATTTTTTAACTCAATTACGATGAGAGGCCATTTTTTAGGAACTGTAGTTGGATTTGGCAGTTTTGGTTGTAGTGTCTCTATAGGAAATAAGTAAGCATTTATAGCTCTTGAATCTTGTAACAACCTGTATTTTTTTGATTTTTGTGGAATAACAAGAGAGGAGTATTTTAAGGGTTAACTGAACTTTTTATACATTTTAGCTGTAATTATTTAACTAATTTGTGTAATTGAGTTAGCTTTTTTTTAGTATGGGGCCATTGATTTATCTTACAGGCTCTTTAGTTTTCTATTGTAAAGGTACAGTTGTTGTGGGGGAGAAGTATAATGGTCTTTGTTTAAAAAACCTGTTGATATCTGATATTATGTCTGTTATTTTTAGGTATAATTTTAATAAGCTCTTTGATTTTTTGTAAGTTTTTTAGTTGTCTTTTTGATATCTCATTTTAATTATCTTTTTTAAATTTTACGACCTGAATATATTTGTTCAGTTTTTAAACTGGAACCTGTTTAGTTTTAAAACCAGAATCACTAGTCAGCATTAATTTTTATTTTTGTAACAAATCTCTTTTTTATAAATTAACTGGAGTAGGTGTTATATAAAGTAAAAAGAAACCTTTTTGTTGCTGTGGTTCTTTATAAGGCAAAAGTGAGGAACTTTGTAACACACATTGAAGGGTTTTTAGTCTAATAATGGCTGTATGAGTTTTTTGTGTTGGCCAAATGGCCGGGCATTGTTTTGATGTAATCACAGACATATTTGTATTGGTATATATTAGACCTTTAAAGTATTTTTTATTGATCTTTGTAAAACATACAGGCTTGTTTTTATTTATATTTTGTGTAAAATAAAATTTTTTATAGTTTTGTTCTGAGGGTTTCTTTGATCTGTTTATATTTAATGGAAGATGGATTTTTTTATAGGTAACAAAATCAATTGTAATACCTAGTTTTGCTTAAATCCTAGAAATCTATAGCACATGCAAGAACTTGTATTGCATCTTTATAATCACAATTAATTATATTAGGCACAACAATGTTTTTAAAATTTAGATTAGCCTTTTTTAGTATAAGATCAACTGGTGGGAGATCCAAAATTCCTGTGGGAATTGGGGTGGTCTTGTCACCTCTAATGAGAGTGACTTTGTAGCTGTAGGAAG